AGCCCCTATGACAAGGACTCACTGAAGCTGCAGGTGAGTGACCCAGCGGCCAGCCCGGGGATGGGGCAAGCTGGGGAAGAGGGCAAGGGATGGGGCTCACGCCTGGTGCCAGCCAGTTAGCTGTGGGTACGAGGGTGGCTGGGGACCTCCTCCAAGGGTGCCAGACATGGTGGTGGCTCTCCCAGCCATCCCCACGCCCTCAGCCCATCTCCTTGGCACAGAAAGGGGACATCATCGGCATCATCGAGAAGCCACCTGTGGGCACCTGGACTGGGCTGCTCAACAACAAGGTGGGCTCCTTCAAGTTCATCTATGTGGATGTCATCCCTGAGGAGACAACCCCTGCCCGCAAGAGCCGAGGCCACAGCAAGAGCAAGCGGCCCAAGCCCAAGACCCTCCACGAGCTGCTGGAGCGTATCAACCTGCAGGTGAGGTCTAGCGTAGGCCACAGTGCAGGGGGACAGGGGCACGCGGACACAAGCCTGACTGGCTGGAGGAGGCTCCCAGGACAGCAGCAGGACCGCACAGCCAGCCAAGAGCATATGGGCAGCAAGAGAGAAGGGGAAGCAGGGAGAGGACATGATCACAGGGAGGAGAGCAAAGCAGCACAGGAAGGAGACAGGGAAGCTCTGTTCTGCTTCCCAGCACCCTTTCACCCACCCTCTTACACCCTGTCCCTCTGGGCCCCTACACCTTATGCCCAAGTACTGCTGCACAGGGGACACGCAGGGCTCTTGCAACCAATGCTCACTGCAGAGCAGGCCAAGGCAGAAGCCTAGGTCATGGATTAGCATCAACAGCCAAGCAGGGGGAGCCCGCAGAGCTGTGTTGCACTCGCTTCGCCTCCCTGCACAAAGCACGCTGCCCTCTTGCCCCAGGAGCACACCTCCACCTTACTCCTGAATGGCTACCAGACCCTGGAGGACTTCAAGGAGCTGCGGGAGACCCACCTCAATGAGCTGAACATCACAGACCCCCAGCACCGCGCCAAGCTGCTCACAGCTGCTGAGCTGCTCCTGGATTATGACAGTAAGGGATAGGCCAAGCAGGCCAGGGGAGAAGCCCCACATCAGCCCCTGCCCCCGGGGCCAAGCCTGCCTGGCAGCCTTGCCTCTCCCTGAGCAGGGATCTGCTGCCCACTAACTTTGGCTTGTCTCTCCCAGCAGCGAGCGAGACAGAGGAAGGGGACAGCTCTGAGGCCCAGCCTTCCCCCATAGAACCCAAAGGGGACATTCCCCGGGACTCAGGCTGCTTCGAAGGCTCAGAAACACTGGATGGCAGCCGGGATGAGGCAGAATTGACGGGCCCTGAGGGGCAGCTGCAGGCTCTCTCCCTGACAGAGTCCTCCTGAGCCCTCCCTGTCTTCCCGGACTGCCCACTCCCGGGCCTGCCCCACTGATGGGGAGATCCCACAGCCGCTTTCTGCTCAGGCTCTAGCCTGGCAGCAGGACCAGACTGGAGGCAACTGCTCCCCACAGCCCATGGGAGCCTTGCAGGAGAGCACGCAAGCCCCAGCGACAGGTTCCCCATCGCCTGGAGCTGTCACTCCAAAGAGCAGGGCAGCATCCAGCTCACAGCCCTGCTCTGTGTGCGGGCACCGCAAGGCTGCAGCGAGTCAGCCCTCAGCCTCCCGAGGCTGCACATTCGCTGCCCAAGGGTATTTTACGCCCTGCTGCCTTGTCCCCGCGGCCCTGCACTGCCTCATAAAAGAGGTGCTCCAAGCACTCCAGAGTCCAACAGAGATTGCAGGCAAAGCCGCTGCAGGCTTGCCAGCCAAGGCTGTATTGCCTCTTAGGGCTTTATCCCATTTTGCCCATAGTTGAAGAGTTCTCCCAGGCTGAGTAAACACAAGCATGCAGGATCCAGCAAAGACAGGAAGGTCTACAGCAGGCACTGACAGAGCAGTGCCCAGCACCAAGCAGAAAGCATGCAAGAGAGCAGAGGCACAGCAGTCCCACTGAGCCAGGCACTCGCAGCCAGAGAGGGCAGCTGTGCTGCCTCCCTCCAGCATCTTCCTCACATAGCTGAGGCTCAACCAAAGCAGACAGGGAGGGCACAAAAAAGCTTTCCTGCAAAGCTTGGGTCATGGGGAGGTGAGGTTCAGCCCAGCCTTGAAACAGCCCCGTAAGGGCTAAGCTGCTTCAGTGGCCCCAGAGGACAAGGCAAGCTGGGGAGAAGAAATGTGGGCTGAGCCAGTGCAGGAGCCCACACCCTCAGCTCCAGAGTCCTCAGCTCCAGCTCCCTCAGCTTTACGCGAGCAAGGTCCCCAGCACCTAAGTCAAACACCCTAGCCCCAAAGGCTTGCAGCCTGCCTGGGACTACAAAGGTGAAATCCTGAGGCCAAGCCGGTGCCAAATGCTCTACTTCCCCCAAGACTGCTGCCCCAGCAGTGGATTAGCTTGGAAGCAGGTTAAGGTTGCTGTCACCATTGCTTCTGCACTGGGCTTGCCAGCTAGCACTGCAACACCACAGCACAAGCTAGCAGGGCAGCCCCTTCCAGAGGGACCAGATCCCTACCTATGCACCAGCTGGGGCATCAGGGCCCTGCAGAGCCTCCTGCTGAGGAACGTGAGCCAGGCAGTAGCCAAAGCACAGGCCAGGTCAGAAAGACTCCCCATTCTTCAGGACAGGATTGGGTACTGGGCCCATAGCAAATAAACAAGCTAATCCCTGTCTTGGGGTACTGTGGTACCCACAGCTCTTCCCAGGAGTTACTTTGCCAAGGCCAGGCTCTCACTGCTGCCCTGGCACATTTTCAGCTCCTGCTCTAGAGCATCCATGTGTGGGCACTGAATTTGTTCCTTTGTGCTTGACTCCAATAAACTGTGCTAATACTTCTTGCTCTAGCCTTTGGTCTCCTCCTACCTGCACCAAAAGCTTAGGAAAGGGCTGGGGAGCCAGGCACTCCATGTTGCTTCTACACCGGGAAGGGACCAAGGCATTTTCAATGAGGCTGCAGTTTAAAGTCTCCCAGGATACCTCTCCGCTTTGCCTAATGGGCTCCATCACTGCTCAGTACAGGCTGCAGAGCCTTCTCACCAAACCCCCGCTTCCTTTCAGCCACCCTGAGGCACCAGCAGGACTCAGGTAAGACAGAGGCTGGCTTGACCACACCACAAAAGTGTAAGATACAGGGGCTGAAGAGCTGCTGGGGAAAGGCAGCAGCCTGTTTTTTTTTGTTGTTGTTTTTTGAGAATCTTGGCCAGATTTTTGTAAATCAGTGTTTCTCAGAACTTTTTTTTTTTTTTTTTGGGGGGGGGGGGAACACACAGACAGACAAAGGCAGAGGCTACAGCTCAGCTATTTTTCAAACCAATTAAGTTTCCTTCATTGTTTCCAAAAAAGAAAAAAAAAAAGCCCCAAAACAACTCCCCCACCTCCCCCACCCAAACTTCCTTCACAGAGAACCTGAACAGAGCAGACAGGAACCACAGGTGCAGGCAGCATCTGCGACTGCCCCAACAGGCAGCACTCGACACATTGCGTTAGAAAATAGATTAGTAAAACTGAAAAATACATTTTTTCGCAACAAGTTTGAGATTTGGTCAGTAGCGTGTTGGGGCAGATGTGAGAGGTGGGGGTGGCTCCCACCTCGGAGCCCAACATGGAGGGGCACACCCTGGGGCAGGGCACAGCACCCCAGGGCCAGCAGCAGGTGGTGGTGCTAGCCCCAGGACTCCAAACCTGGCTTGTGCCTTGCCAGGAGGGACAGGACGGGTCTGACCATCTGGCTGAAGGTTGGCAATGGCTGGAAAGTGGAGCAGTTTCAGCCCTGCTCAAGGTGGGACAGCAGCGGTTCTTTCCCAGGTAGAAGCCTGTGGGGAGCAGTTCACGCCAGAAGCAGGGCCAAGCCAGGTGGAAATTAGCCGGCCAACCCCAGGGCAGCAGCTCTGACCTCTCACCAAAGAGGCAAGTCCTCAGCACTCCTGTAAAGCAGGACAGGGAGAGAGGGCAGCACCAATGGCCACATTAACACCATTTCACCCGCTACCCGGCAAGGTGCAGGTCAACACTGCAAGGGGCTAGGAAAGAGGGATGAGTTGGGAGGCAAACAGAGGGCTCCAGAGGGTCCACAGGCTCCCCCTCCTCTTTCAAGACAGCGGCTTGGAGTAGAAAGTGATTTAAAGTGTGAGGCCAGGAAGGGAGGAACAGGTCTCCTGCGATGGAGGCAGAAGCATCCCAGAGAAACAAGCAGGACTGCCCTGACAAGGCCCTCCTGTGACAGCCTGTTTGTCACTCACTCCCTTCATGGCTGCAAGGACACAGAAGAACTGGCCCCACAAGGCAGGGAATGGAAGAACGCCAGTACAAAAAATGATTTTTCTTCCACCTCTAATCATTGTGGGGAAGAGCTTGCTTCGCCACTCAGACACAAAGCCACCCCAGCCCAACCGCCAGAGGCATCAATAGGCCCAGGACTGGGAATGCCGCAATGGAAGGGAATCCCTGCCACAGGGCAGAAGTTTCCCACCATTGCTTGGCCCCAGCATCTCCTTTCTCTCCTGGGGAGGTACAGATGGCTGACATCGAACAGCTAGTCCCAGAGCAGCCAGCAAGGCCTAGAGAAGATTCAAAACCCTGAAAGCCAGTCAAGGATGGCTGAGAAACAAGGGGAAGAGAGGAGAGGAGGTAGGAATCAGGGCTGAGCTTCCACAGAGTAGGGGCTGACCGGTGTGCCACAACCTTGCAGAGAAGGGGGAGGGAGCACCTGGGCTCGGAGCTGGCACCCAGGAACAAATTCTGCCCTGCACCTGGTAAGAGAGTGAGTGACACAGGCAGACCCTCCCCTTCTGCTCAACACAGCCCTCGCATAACCGTCCTGTGGCAGGCACAGGGTGGCAGCAGGAAGGCGGGCTGCCCCCCTCCTTCTCCTGAGCTCTCAGTTACACACAAGCCCCAGAGAAAAGATGGGAGGGAGGCTCCACGCCATGACTGCTCTCGCACCTGCTAAGTCACATTAAAAGAGGGAGTACGGGAAGGAAGCTACCTTAAAAAGTGTTGTCAGTAGAACACCTCCCCAGTCGTTTTGGCCCTTTTGGCACCAAAATGTCTCCTGACAACCCCTGCCACGTTAACCAATAAAACAATGCCACAAATTAGAGGAAGGAGGGAGGAGGGGAGAGAGGACGTTACTGCCATAATTGCTTTCCCCTTCCCACCAGGATTCCTCAGCAGCAGGGAGCAGGCCAACCCCACTGTCGCTTCTGAGCTGCTCAGCCACAAGTCATCTGGTCAGAGGGTCGGGGCCAGACGGAGGGACAGACCAGGCCACCGGAGCTGGCTTTTAGCACTGAGGACAACCTGCAGAGCAAGAGGTCCTGCCTCGACCTGCAGGGAGACCAGCTTCAGTGGTGGTGAGTGCCCCTTAATGATCAACATGGGCTACTCACACTTATCCTTTGACACCATGCAGGGCCAGCACCAGCTCGCACTTGCCTACGAATCGAGGTGAATAACAACTAAAGCAAAATGGCCATGAGGAATCGCTTGCCTGCCATCCAGCCCATCTCCTCCTCTCCTCAATCACTTCCAGCTTTGATTAGACAAAACAAGAAAGTTCTCCCTTTCAAACAGAGGCTAGTGCTCTGCTTGCCCAGTGTCCTGGGATGGGATTGGGAGCTCCCCAGCCGGCAGCTGCTTCTCCTCTGGCATCTCAGTATTGCTCAGGGATGGCACAGGGACCTGGACAGAAAAGAGAGCAGAGACTCACATGAGTATGCCCCAACATGGAGCACGTCTGTCCACACAGACACACAGCCCAGTTGCCCTGCAGCCACCGCCTC